CACAGCTGCTCTGATGGAGGCTATGTAGGTGGCTGTGGGAGCAGAGGAGATACTCTGAGTGTGGGACTTAGTGAAGGCTGCATCAAGGAGGTGCCCTCAGAGAAAGGACTTGATGGATGAATAGGAGTTTGACATATAAAGAAGAGGAGACGGTGGGGAACGGGGAAAGCTTAATATAAGCAGAGAGCATAGCACCTGGCAAGGTGGGAAGTCACAAAAGTGCTATGTAGATCTGGGGTGACGGACGTGGGCATGGAGGTGGTGGGAGGTTGTAGGGAGATGGTGTGGCCAGAGTGCCTGCTGGCCTGGACTCACCAACTTGGGCGTGCTCCTGAGAGTGAGAGGGAGTGAATCTAGGCCTCGTGTGTGCGCTGGTTATTTTCTCTTTGTTCTCCTTCCTGCTAGCCCATCCACTCACTTCTCACCTTCTCCAAACACTGCTTCACCCAGGCTCCCTGGCCCCCTGGTTGGAGGACAGGAGGAGAGATAGGTTGGGGTATTTATCCCCTGGTTCCCTTGTCACACTCCAAGCAGTGGCTGCATCCCTCTGTGGCCATAGCTCTGGCTTTCCTTGGCTTCAGTAGCATGGTTTCTCTCTGCCTCTCAGGCCTAGGGAGGGGGAGGCTTTCTGCTGCCCACAGCTAATCCCCAGAGGCATCCCCACCCCTGTCCATTCACTTAATCCTGCATTAAACTCTCTTTAGAAAACCCCTCTGACAGTTCCTCTGCTTCCCCCCAGCAGCCTGCCTGATGCAGTAGGGGTGTGGCTTAGTCAGCATTTGGTGGGCAAAATAGCACTGGTGAGGAGGTAGACAGGTGGGGAGGGACGGAGCCAGGAATGCTAGTTAAGACACTTTTAAAGTCCAGGTAAGTGGGGGAACCTGGGTGGCTCAGTCAGTTAAGCATCTGACTGGCTCAGGTCATGACCTTGGGTTCGCGGGTTCAAGCCCCACAGCGGGCTCTTTGCTCTGGCAGAGCCCGCTTCAAATCCTCTGCCTCCCTCTCTCTCTGCCCCTCCCCTGTTGGTGCTCTCTCTCTCTCTCAAAACGAATAAAAATAAACTTAAAAACTTAAATAAAGTCCAGGTGAGAGACGATGGGCTGGCATTGACCCAGTGACAATGGGATGGACAGGAGGGACCAGAGCTGGGAAGCATTTCTGAATTAGAACTGTCACGTTTTGGTGACTTACTGGGTAGATGGGGGAGGTGAGCGGAAGCAAAAGATGGACCCCCAGGATCTGCTTGGAAGACAGAAAATATCGGTTCACAATTGCTGCCCAATAAGCCGTTAAATCTATTTCCAATCCAAATTTGGGACTGTTTAGTTTTTGCTTAACCTCTCCTATCTTGAAAACACTTAAGTACCCTTGGAGGCTGTGGTTTAGATACCAATTGGGCAAAATTGTTATCCAACAGGAGGCTGTTCAAAGAACCAGAGACAAAGCCACTGAATCAGAGACAAAGACAAGGTGGATGACGGAGTTTAATTCATTTTCATTTTCACACGTGCGCATCTCAGGCCACTGAGCATCCATTCACCCTTTGGGTAAAAAAGCACCTCACACGCCCTTTAAGAACCTCCCCTTCCTTCCCCCCACCCCTGCTCCCCATTCTGGCACTTATACTTTGGGTGGGATTGATCCCACTCTATGAGTCAGCCTGACTGGCCAAAACCAGTTTGTCTTCCAGGCTTGGGAGGGGCCTGGGCTCCAACCAGAGCCAATGAGACTTTCTGGAAGAGAGGTGGGGGCTCCTCCCCCACAGGCTTGAATCTGGAAGCGTGGACATGGGAACCACTGTCTCCATTTTTGCCATTGGAGGTGGCCTGAGAAGACACCAGCTCAGGGAGCAGATCAAAGACGAGCTGAGACGTGGAAGGGAACCAAGGTTTTGTGGTAGCGTAAACCTCGGTCAGGCGACACCAGAAGCGGCTCAGCCCTTCTGCTGGACTTTTCAGTTCTGTGAGCTCGTATTTGGTTTCTGCCTTTTTCTTTTTTTCTTTGGTCACTTGCAGCTGAGAGAGCCCTAGACGAAACAGCAGATGTCATCAAATTGTGTCTTAGATTCTAGTTTTTTAGAGACAGTGCTTCGTGGAAAGTGTAATGGGATTTGGTGACAACATCACAGTTCCCCACTTAGGCTAGCTCCTTCCATCGCAGGTCTCTGTGTGTGAAACAGTGCCAGGAACGCCTGCCTATTTTGAAGGAAAAGTAAGAAAAAGAAAAACTGTAAGGTGTTTTCAGATTTTCATTACTGTTATTTTTATGCGCTCCTTGTGGGTAGGAACTAGAGTGTTTTTTGTTTTTTGTATACCACAGAGACCGCTAAAGTGCCTCACACAAAGCAGGTGGTCAATAAAACTAGAGCTCTGTTTGAATCAAATTGAATGTTCTTCCTGCTTATTCTGTCCAAACTACAGAGGAGGAAAATGGAGTCCCAGAGAGACGAATGATCAAGCCACGTGCCAGGAGCAGACTTGGGAATCCTGTTGCTGAACTCAGCTGAGGTCAGAAACCTCAGTGAAGCTCCATCCCTTTGAGATGATGAGGTGACACTTGAGTCGTCCGGTCGCATTGAAAGGGCGGGCCTACGCCGGCCAACTCCATCTTGTTCTGTGTCCTTCACCTGACCACGCCTCCTCCCCTTGAGTAACCACCCCCCCCAACAGGACTCGGACCCTTCCCCAGCCAATCGGCTGAGGCCACAGCCATTACCTCACCAAGTGCCCCTAGGCCCCAATAAAACCTTTGTGCTTTTGAAACTCGCTCTCTCTCCCCGGTATTTCACCGCTGCGTCGGTGCAAGTAGGGGATTGAGCTCGAGCTAGCTCGAATAAAGGCTCTTTTGCTTTTACATCGGACTCAGCTCCCTGGCGGTATTTGGGGATCATGAATTCTGGGCATAACACCATGGCCTCTGTCACTAGCCTGTGAGGTAACTTTGGAGGAATCCCTTTCAGCCTTCTGGGCCCAGGTTCCTCATCATTTGAATGGGGTTAGTCCTCACCTGTAAGCCTCAGTGGGCAAATTGACAGGCCACACCCCCCTGCTCCCCCAAGGTGAGTTAAGTGTGATATTCCTGGCTGCCCAAGGACAAAGAAAAGGGGAAAAACAAATGGTTAACTGATCAAGATCATAGTCCCACGGGACCTGAGTCTCCATCTATTGACAAATATCTTAGTAAATCACAAGAAAAAGGCAATCTCAATAGCTTAATCTCCAGAAACCTATAGACTCCTTCTCCTGGAGCCCCACCATCACCCCTCCATAGTGATGTGGGAAACGAAGGCAGAAGGAAATGGCAGAACTAAATGTCCTTATAACCTGCAGCCCATTGACAAATACTTGAGGCTGGCAGAGTAAAAAGTTTCTCCAGGAACTCCCAACGGTCTGAATGCTAATGCTTTGCTAGAGGGAAAAACAATGTTAGCCTGACAATAGCTAGGCCTCCACTATCCTGGGAATCTTCTTTAGCATATGAAAATCTCCCTGGAAACTACCCCTGGACTTTATGCCTCCTAACCCCTAACCCCGCAGGATAAAACCAGTCTCTCCTCATGGTCCCCTGGGCAGCTCTTTCTGTCCGCTGGTACTGTCCCCGTGCTTTAATAAAATCACCTTTTTGCATCAAAGATGGCTTCAAGAATCCTTTCTTGGCCATCGGCTCCGGACCCCGCGAACCCCACTGTCACCCCAAAACCTCATCACAAAGGTCTTTTTCAGCAGGTGCTGCATGAGGAAGAAAGCCGTGTGCTGGGGGGCCCTCCAAGCGCCCTCGTCCACACGATTTCCTGTGCTTTTTCCCAGGCTGTGAGAGATTTCTCTCAGTGACAGGGAGAAAGCTGAGGCACTGAGAAGTTGAGTGTCCTGCTGAAGGCCATCAGCTAATCAGAGACACGGCAGAATTCACACCCACTATTGTGACTTTCAGTTCAGGCCTGGCACAGGCCTCTGTGCCTCCTGTTGGGAAAGCCAGTGCCCCTAGGGACTTGCTCACAGATGGTGCTCCATAAATGCTGAGGGGTAGGCTCAGAGGAAGCCGGCTTGTCCCAAGGCCAAGACCGGTGCTGGTCTGGCCACTCTGCAGATGGCCTTGCTGAGGCCTGGCTGGTGGGGGCGCTGGAGGCCCAGGTTACCCAGTGGTTTATTTGGGAGGTGGGTGCTGTGTTTCTGACGGAGGTGGGGTTGCTTCAGCAGGACTTGGTGAACAGCCTCTCTCAGGGACCAAGGGAGGCACGGCTCAGACGCTGGGCTGGGCCGTGAATAGCTCTTCCGGCCATTGTACTCACCAGTGCCCCGGGTCATGAACACAGAGGCCAGGATGCCTTTGTAGAAGTCACAGCAACACCCTGTACTTCCCCCCGCATTCCAAGGAGGCTCCTGAGTTTGGTCACTTATGGGAGGTCTTCCAGACACCCCCTTCCTCTTCCTCTCCTGGACGCCATCCTTTTCGGGACCCAACGACAACTCTTCATGGTGTGATCTGAGGGCTGTGGGAGGGCCTGTAACAACGTGGCTCTCCCCATGTTGGGCAGCCCTCCTTCCAGACGTTATCTCTTGGCTACACAAAATATTAACGTCACAGCAAATATTTTCTGATTTAGGCTCTGTTTAAGAGCTTTACATACTAATTTTGTCAACAAATCCATGAAATAAATGCTATTGTTATCGCTCCCTGCCTGTTGTTATGAAGGCAACTGAAGCATGGAGGGGTCCAGTAACTCCCCCAAAGACACATCAACAGTGAGTGGCAGAGCCAGGCCTCAGACCTCATGCATCTGAGGCCGAAGCCTATGTTCTTAACCACCTTGCCGCATTACCCTCTGTGTTAGCCTGGTAGTTTGTACTTTGGAAATGGGTAAGGATGAAACAGAGACATTCACTCATGAATCTTTTTATTTTATAAGTTTTTATTTTACAATATTTTTAGATTGGGGCACCTGGGTGGCTCAGTCGGTTAAGCGTTCAACTTCAGCTCAGGTAATGATCTCACAGTTTGTGGGTTTGAGCCCTGTGTCGGCCTCTTTGCTGACAGCTCGCAGCCTGGAACTGTAGAGAATGAATTTAAAATTTTGTATGTCTTGCCTATTGTTCGATGTGAGCACCGTTAAATTTTTCTAGACTTAGTTTGCTATACCCTAAGATTATAAAAATACTTACTAACCAGCATTTTCTCGCTTCTGTAATCTTGCTTGCTTAACACATTCCTTCCCTTCCCCCTTCCCCCTTCC